CTGGCCCAGGTTTTTTTTTCCATCCTGCCCTTTTTATTCTCCTGTTGCCCTTGCAATGACCTGACGTGCTCCTTTGTGCTCGAATGCCAAGCCAGTGTGACCTGCACGCTCAGCGCCACTGATTAAGTCCAACAACAACATTTTTTCAGAGGGTCTGTCCCAACACATTTCGTTGGGATTTTAAATTCTTTAGATTTCATTCAGCCCATGTGCATCGGAGTGTCACAAGGCTCTGGGCCCGGCTCAGTTAGTCCTGGCCCTGGAAGAGCTCCAGCATCCTCAACACCATGCCTATGAGTATTGCAGCAGGAAGGGATGGTCTGAACTGAGCAGGCTGCCAAATAAGGAGTCACCATGTCTCCCTGCTCCTTTTAACATACAGCTGCCTTGGCAAGGATCCCTGCAGCCGCTGGCCATAACTCCAGTGACAAACATCAGTGCCCAGAGATAGCAATTGCTATCTCTGCTGATAGGTATCATTGCAACACTGAATGGCCAGAGAAGAGCTCTGAAGAAACTGAGGTCTATCTACTCTTATGCTGAGTTAGTTCTGCAGTCAAATGCAAACTACTGATTCAGTTCTCCCAGGTCCAGGGGAAAGGACTGCAGAATGAAACAAGGGAAATTCACATATGATTTTTTTTGCTTGCTACACTGCTATCCAAACCATATGAGGCACCTCTGCTCCATCAAGAGTTTCAGAGCAGTATCGTGGCTCAGTCCATACCATATGCTGCTGCCTTTTATTGTAACCATTTAACAACCTGCAAGTTGTACTTGTTTTCTATCAGCTTTTAAATTGTCTCTCTTTGCTCCTCTCATCTGCTCCTGTCCATCCCTAGGATAATAGCAAACAGCCTGATGGAAAATAAACAGGAAAAGTGTGAGGAGGGACAGTTCTGAGATAAAAAAAAAAAAGAACAGAGAAGGCAAATCCAAGGAAAAAGCTGTGGATGAAGTAGGTGCTGCCCTGAATGTATGAGTGAGGAGTTTAAAATTAAATGCAGAAGCAAGCAGGATTTTCATGTCAGGATTCGAGGATGAGAAAGAATAGGAAAGCAGCAGCACCACTCAAAATGAGCGGAAGGAAGAGGAATGAGGAAGACAGGAGGAAAAATAGCAGAGAGTGACGGAAGACAGGTTGCCAAGGCTTGCTTTCACACAGAAATGTGGACAGAAAGCCATGCTACTAGTGAGGTTCTGCTCCCTTATTTTTAAAACTACACATTGTCTCCTAAGCTCTGCAGATCTTTATGTAATATGTTGAGGAGCCAAAAGCCCAGTAAGAAATCCTCTGCTCTGCTAGACACGCAGACAGGTAAAATATCTGTGCTACACAATCAACAGGACAGAAATCTGCATCCCTAGAGCATTTTATCAACTCAACATTTTTGTCTTTAGCTTCCAAGAGCTAGTTGGAACTCAGTAAATCTGCAAGAAAGGATTCATTTGCAACCTGGGATAAGATCTTAGATCCATGACCAGCTTGCATTTTTAGCAGCTCTGACAAAATGAGCTAGCTTGTTCTTTGCTTTTGCAATTACATGAATTCAGCTTAAGAGATCTTGGAATGAAATGTGTTTAATAAAAAGACATGCTTGCTAGCAAGTCTGGGAGGATCACACTGACAGAAATAAGTACAGATCTGCAAAACATTAAAAAACATGAATTTTCAGGAAAGGAAAGGCAAGGCAACAAGCCAGCCTAAATGGAAAATTCTGGGGGAACTATGCTATTGGCATAACAGAGCACCATCAAACAGGGTCTGAACTTCATTTTTCTTCCTGTCCAGCTTCTATCAACTACCAATGGGGACTTCATAGCAGCCTACTGGTACTTAAAGGGGGGGCACTACAGGAAGACTGGGAAAGGAATCTTTATGAGGGAGTGTAGTGATAGGACAAAGGGTAATGGCTTCAGGCGAAAAGATGGTAGATTTAGATGAGACATTAGGAATAAATTCTTTACTAAGGGGGGTGGTGAGGCTCTGGAACACGCTGGCCAGAGAAACTGTGAATGCCCCATGCCTGGTGTTCAGCACCAGGTTGGATGGGCTTTGAGCAATCTGATACAGAGGCAAGTGTCCTACCCACGGCAGCAGGGCTGGAACTAGGTCATCTTTAAGGTCTCTTTCAACCCAAATCATTCCACGATTCTATGATAACTCAAAATTTGATTTTTGAATGGACTGCATTCCTTACAGTTCACTTCTATTTCTACCTTCATCTGCTGACAGAAAAGGCAAGCGGTGCTTGCAAGAACATATCAGTTCTCAAGGAATACCTTTAGACATCAGTTAGAGAGCACACGTGAGCATCACAGGTACTTACTGTTGTAGAGTGCAAACTTCCCACAATGGTCTTTCCCCAGAAGAGGGGCAAAGGAAAGCCATTCATCTGCTACAAAAGTTAGACGCTCAGCTCAAGATTATCTGACACAAGAGAAATCTTGACATAACCAAGTACTGCCTCCTTGACTTAACGAATGCTCTGTGCTTGGATTTTGACAGGGTCCTTCAACAAGGGCCCTTACAGAAATTAAGTTGTCATGAGATGACAGGAAAGCCTCTCTTAGGGATTAATAACCAGCTAAAAGGGAGCAAGAGAAAACCAGAAATGGCAGTAAATCTATTCAAATAGCACTTCAGCTCTTTACAAATGACAAAGAGGCTTCACAAGTTATTACAAAAGGAGTGGCGAATGAAAAAAGGAATACAAGTTTCAGATCCATACCCTGCGTGGGCATGTCTCTTCTCCTTTCAGTTGCAGAAAGGCAACCTAGAAGAGATGCAGAAAGCACAGCAAGAAAAGGACAGCTCCCATATACACAACAGTTAACAGACAACAAATTTTCAGCATCAGCAAAGAAACAAAAAGGGCTCAGAAAGTAATGGGACAAATCCCTAGAATAGAAAGCCATCAAAGGAGAGCTGCAGACAAAAAGCTCTGAGGCAAGCAGCCTCTCAGCTACAGATGCTGGGAGAAGGAATACGTGAGAAGTAATATTAGTACTATTTGCTCTTCCTCTATGATCTTCCTGTTTGCACCTGCCGTTGGCCTCTGCCAGAACTTTGGTACACTCCTCCATGGGCCTTTGCTCCTGCTCAGAGTGCTTGAGCACAAGTCCTGATCAGTGGGAAACATGCAAGTGAAAAGAAAGTCACAATGCTGCCCTCTGATCCAGAGGGAAGACATCATCACCACAGACAGAAGGCATCGTTCTCAGAGCCAGATCCCTGTAATGAAGAGAGCAGTAGCAAAAGTGGGGACAAGAAGGCTCTTCAAAAAGCATTATTCTGAATTCCCAGGACGCTGGATGGATGAGGAGAGCAGAGACCTTTTTTTTTAAGTGTTTTTGAGATGAGCTGTGAGTTAAATTGGGCAGCTGACAACAGCTAGGAGCGATAACTGTTCTCCTTGCTGTGTGGGACAGTATTTGCACAGATGCCTAAGGAGGGCTATGAAAGCTATGATTGCTGTAAAGCCCCGTTGCAAATGTTGAAACTGACACCAGTAACTCACATATAAACTGTGAGGGTTCAGCAAGAAGGGGACTCAGGATGGCCCAAGCTTAACCCAACAGACTGCTGCTTCTACAGTCAGTCCCTCTGAGCAGGCTGTCACAGGAAATCTCTGCAGGAGCAATATCATGTGGATCAGTGCACACATGGGGAATAGGCAGTTCAGCCCAATCCTAAAGGAAAAAATTTTCCCATAGGAAAAGCATGCAAACCACCCTTCACCCACTGAGAGGGTAGGGCGCAGCACGTCTGTGCAGATAAAGCTATTTGGTAAGCAGATGAGCAATTGAGGAAGGCATAAAATGCTCCACCCTGAGCCTACTTCCTGAGTCCTTTGGTCAAAAGTCTTGTATGTCATGGAGTAAAAAAGAAAAGCAAGGAAAGAGATGGGCAAAAGAGTAAAGAGACACTGTCTCTCTGTAAGGGTGTTTTTCTGACAGGATATGATCAGGCAGTGGATGGCAAAAAGATGCAGATAAACTATTTCTAAGGCCAATTCCAAGATTTTGTCGGCTGAGTCAATACAAACAGGAGGTAAGACTCCCAGAGGATGACCCTTTTTCTTTATTACTTGAAAATGGTGTTAATGCCACAGCGTTTGAAGACAGATATTCTTAAGCCAAATGACTGAGAGACGAACTGATTTGCTTCTTCTGTCAGAAAAAGGAGCAATTCAGCAGTGATAGCAGTTCCAGATAAAACTCCTGCGTATCAGAACTGCGTCAGGAGAATCTTCTAACTGAGCAACGAGGAAATTTGTCCCAGTTCATGTCCTCTCCCTGCACAAGGCACAGAAACATGGCCAGGGATCCTCAGGGTTAGCAACAACATTTAGTTTGGTAAGAGAGTTATGCCAGGTGGAGAAGTGTTGCGTTTATAAACTTTAAAATAACATCAAGGCTTGTTAGAGTTTCTGGGCTATTCAGTGGTATACCACCTCACGTAGTCCTTGACCCTCTTTGTGCCTGGAATACCCAAAGCAAAAGGAACTTTATAAAGGCTGCAGCAATCCAAAGAAAGACATTCTTCATGTATCTCTTTTTGTCATGTGATACGATGAGAGAACAAATTCATCTAATTACAAAAATAGCCTAAACCTGTCACTTGCTGTTGGTCACCACTGTTGTAGTTAAAATAGGCTGTGAACTTTGCAGGACAGCGACTGCTTTGTTTGTTTTTAGAGTGGTCAGTATGCCAGGGCATCTATCTTCTGGGGGACTCTCAATGCTTAAGCCTGAATTAACCTAGCTACTACACAGTTTCTTAGCTGAGAAAAGATGTTGCCATTGAGAAGAAAAGAAGCTATAGACCTAGCAGCCAAACTTGTAAAAAGCACTGTGGACATCAGCATAACAATCTTTGAAAATACCGATGCCGATTACCATCTGCCTGCGGAAATAAGTTTTCTGACCAGCTATCAAACCTTGCTCCAAGCACTTAGATTATAAAATTGCTGGTTTGTGCAATCTCACACTCTTACCTGACATCATTCCCTCCATGGGCAAAGGATCCGAAACAGGCTGTTAAGATCTGGAGGAAGTGGAAGAGCAGATGGACCTGAGACGTGTCCTTCTCTTCCTTGTCCTCTTCCACAGGATCTTCTGGGGGCCTGTTAGAATCTGCGAGTTCAGAGGCCAACTTCATTTCCACTCCACCCTCCTCCGCCTCAATTTCTGCCTCAGCCACTGCGTTGCAATAGCTGGAGTAGCTGTCATAGCGAACTCGTTTCTTAGAGTAGGACACCGTGTCTCCTACTAACTTCTCACTGTCCTCGGGAGTCGATGTATCTGCTGCCTTAAATGAGGAATGCACAGGCATGCCACAGATAGCAGCTGTATAGCAGGTATAGCTATTGTTGCGTCGTAACAGTTTGTAGTTGTTTTCTTGAGCAGGCTTCTCATCAGTGGACCTGTCCAGGTGCATTTTGTGTAGCAAGTCTTTGTATAAACCTGAGTCTTTGTGCACAGTGTGATAGACATGGCCATCACTCCTCACCTGGCCATCAAAGCTGAAAGTGCCATTAGAGACAGGGGATTTCACAGAGGTGTGCGTCATAGAAAAGGCCCTTCCTAAAAAAGCAGAGATTTGGAGATGTTATTTCTATGAAATGCAATTTTGAAACCCCCTCCCACTTCACAACATGAAAAAACAAGAGGAAATGGCTAAAAAAGAAAAGCCTTCACAGGATATGGGACAAAGAAGGCTAATTCGCAATACATGCTTTGAACAAGCAAAGAGTTAATCCACTGCAAAATAAATTCTCCCATCAAAAGTTGGGATTGCATAGAAAGTATATTAAAACAAACACCTTTGTTCCAGCACTGGATCTTCCACAAACATTTGGGAGGACCTGCAGTAAGTCATTTTGGACCCGCCACTCAAAGGTGATATTTGAAGCCCAAGACCTCTATTTTTTTGAAAACTCAGTGATGTAAAAATTCCTTATCTGTAAAGTAAGATCTTTTCTGAGGTTTTCTTTACTTTGAATATGTGTAAGTATGTCAGGAAAGTTGGTCTTTCTGCAATTTGATACTGAATATGAGGTCACATTTCAAAAACCCCTATATTTAAAAAACATTTACACGACTCAAAAATAATTTAACAGAACAGAAAACAAAAAGCTCACTTTCTGCAAAAAATATTTCTTCAGCTATTCAAATATTTTGTTTATTTTATTTCTATCAACGTAGTTATTCCTACCATACGCATTTAACATCAATGTCTGCTGTAGAAGACCTATCACAGCTAAGCCAATATTTCTGAAGAAACTCAAATTACCGCTGTGCAACATTCAGAAATGTTTTATCTGGTTTTGAAGTGGAAGCTCATGCTCAAAGAGCTTCCCACCGTGACTTCTTTGATTTTGTGAGAGTCAGCTGAATACCTCAGGCGTTTACTTACCAAATGATGGGGTTGCATAGACATTAGTAAAATGATATGAGAGTCAGCTGACTCCAAATTGGTGGGAGAGGGGTGATGCCACCACATGGAACAAAAAGGGCTTTATGCACACAAACATACCTCTGATGAATATACGTTCAGAAAACAATGAGATTTTTCTAACGGACATGCTCCAAATGGTCATACATTCGTCAACTAAAACCCAAATCTTTTCATCTCCTGCTAGTAATCTTTATACTGCACTTAACCTTCAAACATCAGCTTGTTTATGTTCTCTGTATTTTTCCACTGCTTAAAAGGATAGAAATATCATTAAGAACAGCAAGTAAAGCGGGAAGGAAAGTAAGTACTGCTTTCATAAAATGCACTGGCAACCAAACCAAACTGTTTTCAGGCTCTCTATAGAAAATGTCATTTATAAATGAGAATTTTTCTCCACAGGTGGTGAAGAGGGATTAGGGCCGAACATCCCAAACACTAACTTACCATTTATGATACAGACTTACATGCAGCAAAACTTGCTATCAAAACAAGAAGATGTTGTCTGTCTTAGTTTCTTACCATAAGGTACACGTGGATGGTTTCCATTTGCAATAGTATCTGATGCCCCAGCAGCTTCTGTTACTGAGCCAGTGAGGGGAACTGAGCTCTCATCAGACGCTTTGGCACCGGGAAGCTCTTTAAAGACTGGTGTTTCTTCATCTTGAATTTTATCAAGACTTTCATCTGATATCCTTGACAGTGCAGCATCTTTCTTTAACCGACCTAATGAAATAACAGAACTGTAATTCTAAACTCAGCCTCTCTGTCACACTGCTTATGTTTCCACTGTTTGCCTCAATGGAACAGATCCACGTGGATACAGTAGCTTGGCTCTGTTTATTACGCATTAATTATTTCTAACACTTAGCTTCGTTAAATTCAACTATGAAAATGCTGAAGCATTCTATAACTTCACCAGCACAGGTACCTGACGTGAAGCACCAAGCTGCTCATTAATTAATGAAAACCGAAACTTTTCTCTGATTTTGCAATGCTCTATTTGCTGAAAGTAGCAAAGCAAACAAGTAAAAGACTGTAAAAGTAAAAGCTGCGATCAGTTCAGCTCACTGTGAAGTTAGTCACTTGAAGATAATCATTCTGCCAGATTTTTCTCTTAAATATTTCCTTACCAAAACATAAAATGGATTATATTCCAGGATTTATTTTCCTGTTTCTGCTAGACTCTGGAAGGCATAAGCACTGCAGTGGATTGCCTAAAGAGGTTTTGAATTTCTTCCACTGCAGGTTTTTAGGAGCAGGTTACATAAATACATGAGGAACAGCTTCAGCACGCCCTGCCTGAGGACAAGACTAGATGACATTTCAAGGGCACTTCAGTACTGAATTGAAACTCTCCACAATTTGAAATCATTCACATTTCATCAATCAAGTACTTACTTTCTATTTTTCTTTTCATCCAGGGGCATACAAAAATCCAAACTAAGACAGCAAATACTAAGGACACGCCGAGTGATATCAGAGCAATAGCCCACATTGGCAGTACCAGTCCAAGTACTGTGAAGACAAAAGTAAAACCCAAGCAAACTGTAAATTAACTTGACTTATTTATCTCAAGCAGTGGAGCATCAGACTTGCAAAAGCCCGTGTTTGCCATGTATTCAAACCCAGCATGAATGAGTTGCTCATTTTTAACACGAATATGTCATATAAGTGCAATATTCAAAGGTCTAGCTGACCTGCTAACATTTATGGGACCGATCCTACAAGCAATTTGTCACCCCCCAATGACCTCATTTCCAAAGAAGTCAGTGGCAAAACATCCATATCAGGGCTACAAAACTAGTTTGTCACTACTGTATATACTAATGCATGTTAAACTCTGTTGCCCATTAGGTTAAGTATTTACCTGACCTCTGCTCTGGTCAATATAACCTGCTGCTTAGCTTAATCTAAGCCATTATCTGCTTATAATAATAGCTTTTTGTGTCACTTCTGAACCGAGGCTCCAGTCCTGCTATGTGAAACTGCAAACAACTTGTAATCCTTTAAAACCACCTGGCTTCCATTCTCCCAAGAGATCTCCTTGCTCTTGTTCAATTAACCAGTGTGATCAGGCCCTTGATGAAGAAAGAGCCTGGACTCTGACCCTTCTGTTCCATCATTGCATGCTTATCTTGCAACTTATGCTGTTGATTCATACTTCTTCATAAACGCTGACAGAGTAGAGGCGATAGAGAATAGAAATATGTTTTAAACGCGTATTCTCTGCATATCAAAAATGGAATCCCACCTTTTCACTCACACACTTTAGAGACTGCTTAGCTGAAACAGAAGGGACATTAAGATTCTTATTTCATTTATTTTGCTTAATGAGTCACTGCAGACTGCCTGACCTACTTCTGCAAAACAATTAGTCAGGAAATGTTGGTTATACAGCTGATTTACTGTGAAACATCTTGGATATCCATCCAGTGAGGATTTTGACTCAAGAAAAAAGAAAAGTTGAATTATGCTTCCCTCAAAGTGGGAACTTTGCAAGCTTTTTGTTAATTTCACTAATGCTACACTATCAACCACAGCTTAACAAATGCATTTGTCTAGTACATTTAGTACAGCACATTTTAGAGAAAACAGATTTCCATTCACAAAAGGTTACTTTCTAAACCCGTTTTCTTAATTCAGGGGGCATATTAAAGATTGGAGTCTCTTTCCAATTGTGTGATCATTCACTGCTCCAGGGCAATGATCTAATCTAAAGATAATGTTCAGTGACCAGACTCTTCAGGAATGTAGTTGAGAGAATTGAACACTTCTTTCTGAACTATCTTACTGCAAGGTTATGTCTAAATACTCATTGCTTAAGCAAATTTAAACGTGAACACATAAGTGCAAGCATATAAACATATACATGCAAATAAAAGCATATAAGTATAGAAACATGTTAAAATACATAAATAGACAAAAACAAAAATACAAATGTAGTTAAAGTCAGGAAAATGAGGTATCATTTCCTTCTACTGAGTTGCAATGAAAAGCACCCAAGAGAGAAGATGTATTAAATGCAGAAAAGACTGTGGGCTCCTTATCACTGAAGGGAAATAAAGAAGTATATTTAATTAATAGGCTCTGCGCCAGATTCGTCAGAACCATGACTCTGCTGGTTTCAGTGGAGCTATAGCATTAGGAGCACACACAGCCTACCAGACTGCTCTGGATCTTCCCTCCTTGCTCTACATATTTGCACATCAGATTTATAAAGCCAAAGCTGGCAGGTTGATATTTCCCTTTCCTCTAAAAAGGGAATTTGTTATAGCTGTGCCCATCTGCACTAAACAGTGTTCAGGGAGGAATCACAATAACACAAGTACACATAGAAGAATGCATGCAAGTACATTTTACTCTTGCCCTTGTGAACTCCTAATAAAAGAAGTAGCAATGTAGCGTTTACAGCTACCTAAAAGCACACTGGTGGAACACTGTTATCCACAATGAATGGAACAACACAACTGCAGGAAACCTCCCAGCCGTGCCTCTGGCTGCAGACTGCTTGCTCACCTGGTGCCCCCGTGTACATGATGGAGAACACATTAATAGCAATGGTAGCAGCATAGAAAACTGGAAGTGCACGAAGACCATTGGGCACAGGGTCTTCCTGCAGAAAAATCAGGAAAAAAAGGAAGCATTAGCTAGGTTTTCCAACAGATTAATATAAACATGAACCAACATAAGGAAAATACATCCTCCCAAGCCAGTGCCAAGCAGGTGTAGCCTTCATGTGGATGGTGAGGAAAGGATGTTGACCTGGGTGGTTACAGTCAAACCTCCAGAGATGGTCTTGGCAAGCACCAGTATTTTGGGGAAGCCTGACACTGTTCTTGTAGCTTCAGGTCTGCTGCAGACCTGTTGGTTGACCTGGAGGCAAACTTCTTTCTGAGAGCATTTTACTTTGCAGGGGGCTATCCTGGCTGCCAGACTAAGCACTTTAACTGAAGCAGGCATGTCACCGTGCTTCACTGCCCAGCACAGAGCTCAGCAATGGGCACAGAAGGTAAGCAGCTGTGCAGCCTTGTGTCCCTGGTGCTCACAAGCAGAGGCTCAGCTGACAGTGCTGAGGAAATGCACAATGCAATGCATGGAAAAAGCCTTTGTGAAAAGAGAGCCTTGGCCTTTTGATGGGCTCTCCATAGCTGGGAAGAACCTGATGAAGCCAAGGCGTGGCTGGCCAGATTTTGTTTCCTAAAGTCATGCAGAGACACCAGGAGTACATGCACAAGGGCATGTTCATGTGATTTTGATGATTAATTTACTGAGTTGTGAAGTTTTTGAATGGGAACTTTTTCCCTACAGTATCTCAGCCTTTATGCAGATCAAGTCAATTTAAATTCAAAGCTGTGTCCGTTCAAATTTGCCACCTTCTTTTATCACTGATGTTTATTTACATCAGAACTAAAGAATGATGAAGCTGAGGTTACAGGTGGTGCTATTTATAGCAAAAGAATTAGTTCCTCGTCTATTTAAGTTCCCTGCATAACCACTAACATGGTATCCCTTATTTTAGGTCCTTGTCATGTGCTGTACCACCTATTTTAGCAAATTGAGTAGTGTGAGAGAAATGAAAAGAACAGACAAAAGAGTTCTGGTTTCCAGTCTCTGCTGGTGGGAAGAAAGTCATCTTCCACACCAGAGATATATGAACTAATACTACCTCAAAGCTGACTGAGGTCACTAAAACCCATTGATTCAGGTTTCATGAGAATCTACCAAATAAACAGATGCCCATCTTCTAATATCTGATACACAAGAAAACCAAAGCTTAAAATTTCTCTGAAATATTAATGAGAGTATCTCCCAGTGAGAACTATTCTTTATAAATAACAGTTTGAATTGCTACCATGAACCTAAATCAACACTGAAATATTTGTACTAATAAAGCAGCGAAGTATAATCTTTCAATGAAACAGAACATACTACATGAATTAGCTTATGATGCACTTGCATAGCGCTTTCTAAGCTTCAAATATGCGTTTTGTTACAAAATCTGAGCTTTCAAAATTGCTAAGAGCAAACAGAGTTCCAATGGCTAGGTAAAGAATGACTGGTCTCCTATCCAAAAAGCAAGCCACAAACTTTCAACTCTGTGGAAATATCCACATTCAAATGATGGGCCAGAACATAGCCTTTGTAGCAGGCACTCATTATAATGATGGAATTTGTTTACCTTCTTTAGAATGAAGAATCTAATCAACACAAAAAGTACTCCAGACATCAAGCCAGACAACAGTGGGGAAATAAACCAAGAGGCAACTGTGTTGAAAAAAAAAAAAAAAAAAAAAAAAAGACAGAAAAGAACATGAAATATATAGTATAATTAACTCGTATAATAGTCAAGAAGCTAGTAATCAATGAGCAATGCATTCAAAACTGTTCTTGTACAACTGGAATGTTTCAGATATTTACTTACAACTGGAGCAGCTCAATTTCCACTGACACTCATGAAAGTCAAACTACTGGTAGGCACTATTAGGAACATCAGCCAAAACATTTCCAAATAACTTTGCAAGTTTAATGATCAAATTAATCAGGAAAAAATTATCTGAGCTGATGCAGAGTTGACTAAGAGAATTACTAAAAATTCCTGATCACCATAACTGCGAAGGGTGCAAGCAAGTGGCAAGCAACTGCATCTATCAGGATGTCATACGGCTCACAGGGTAAGAGTCTCAATTTCCGAAATGCCACAGAAGCATCAGTTGCACAGAACAATACACAGAAATTTTTTTGCGGGCAAGATTTGCAAATGTTCAGTACTAATTTAACAGAAGTGGGTGGCAAAACTCCCACTGATTTCAATAAAACAGGATTAGGGCAAAGCTCTGGAAATCTCATCCAGATTCACTTATTGTTTGTGACACAGCTAACAGGTTGATTCTGCTGTTATTCCAAGCTCACTAAAAACTTCATTTTACTTTTGACAGAATTACAAAAAAATACACATTGCTAAAACTTCTTTAAAGCTCAACTGTATTCCTGTGCCTTCAACCTTGAGTCTTTTTAATGCAGGATTCAGGATGTGACTTGGGTTACAAGGCTTCCAAAACAACACAGAACCCTTCCTGACATCCCTGCTTGGCGGTGCTGATGGTGGCAGTGAGAGACTGTGATGTAAACATGTGCTGTGCACTCAGCTTCCACCTTCCTGGATCTGGTGGGTGGAGACACATGACTATGGGCATTCATATTGCTCAGAATAAGAACGAGGTGGTATGAGCTGTCACTTTTTGTGGCATTAGAAGAGGAGGAGTGTCACCTTGAAGTACGTCTGGGAGGCAAAATGTTTCCTCAGCTTACTGCTGGAAAAGCACAACTTGCATTTTACCTTTCTCCAGGGCTGGCCTGCAGATGCACTGCAGCCCTCAGGTAGAAAATAATTTAAAGAGGGAACGCTGCCAGTAAAAAACATGCTTCTGTGAAAGCTTCTGCAGTCAGGGCACAATTTTTCCCAGACCCTCCCACATAAAAGGAAATGGCAATTACCAATCTTGACAAGCTGCATCCACTGAACTCCCTGTGTGCCAATTGCAACGAGTGAAAATCCAATAGTAGCACCTACAATGCAATGGGTCCCCGATATTGGGAGTTTCAAGAAAGATGCAATCAGCTGCCAAACAGCAGAACCTGGAAAGTGAGGAAGGAGAAAAAGCATAAACTGTACACAACAATAGTAAAAGTCACACAGAAAATTCTCATTGATATACCCTTGTTCCTTTATGAACACAGACTACGCTCCACATGCACAAGAGAGATCTCCTAAAGAGAACTTTGTTCCTTTTCTGACTGCAAAAGCAGGTACTACAGCAGTCTAATAGCTGCTCTGAACGCTGCATCTTATTCATTATTTTTTGTTACTAACAGCACTTAACGCTGCACAACAGGGCTGCTCTTTTTTGAAGGCTTTCACTATTTTTCACCATTCAGTTCATTCACTGAATCACATGAACACACAAATAGCTCCAGGTATGCATCAAGCTTAGAAAACCTCATTCTCTAGAAACAAACCTGGAAGCCTCCAAATGACCAGTGTCAGGAGCCAACCATGGCTTCACTGGTGAGATATTCAACTGCTGAATTCAGATGCTACCAGAGAAAGGTTCAAATCCTGGCTCAAGGGGCTTTCATGCCTCTTCTCAGTGATGTGCAGCCACTATCCAGAGTACTCTACATGATAAATTGACTGAGGAGGGAGTGAAGATGTTTGCTATCTTCATCTGTAGCTCACTGCAGCACTGGAGAATTCAAGTTGTGGAAAAAAAGATTTCTAGCACCACAGAGAGGACCTTGTATTCAGTTTTGATTCAAGATTTTGATGGTTAGATTAGACCACAGCTGGACAGCGAGCCCACCAGCATACAACTCCATTGCTCTTCTTTTCATACCGCAGCACAAAAGGTCCCCTGCTCCTCTTACAATGGGTTAGCGTGGGGACATCAAAATCATCTGGGCGATGATTCAAGTTTTCTGCTTGTCGAATATTAGAGAGCTCTCAGTAGTATCTCTTCTTCATCTTAACGCTTTGTGGTCTTGAGACAAAATCTTACTATGTTACGAAGCTCCAAGGTGACAGCAATCAAACTGCAATGAGAGATCCCATATTTTCTGGCTCATGCCATCAGTCTTTACAGGTCTGTAGCAGACACAGGTGATAAAGCAAGGCTGCTGAACACACACTGTCACTCAAATGCCAGCCTCCATTCTCAATTCCAACAGGGGAGGATGGTTTGAAGATCTTGAAATGGAGTCTGGTTACAAAACAGGGTTTAAAAGCATTGAAAAAGAGCTGTGTTACAGCTCCATGACATACACATCAAGAAGGGAGAGAGCAAGGAGGCAATTACTGATGCCTTTTCAAGTTGCACAAGGGCTCCAGTACAAGGAACATAGGGGTGATGCTCACGATGAGGCATGGTGAAGGAACAGTCTTGACAGCAGAGGCTGGGAGAGAGGACAGGTGGGAAAGCATAGAGAACTGAAGAGAAGAATGAAAGGTACTCTGATAAACAAGCCTCAGAGACTGGTTTGTCACTTCAAACAAGCCTTTATACAGTCAAGTTTCTGCCTTATAAATGCTATCCTAAATACAAGTCTTGCCAGTCTGCTGGCATCATATGCAGTGTGGAAGTCAACCAGGCTGTAACACTAATCTTTCCTGGGGCATTATCCCAAAACAACTGGTATACCTACTGGAAATTCTAGATCAATCAAGGGACACCTGCCCTTTCATTTTTTGGCCTCTCTTCCCACACACTACAACAATAATAAATACACTGTGAAACCTGTGACATGAACTTAAGAGATCAGCAAGTGGAAGTGAGGTGAAAGGGAACACACATGGTAACATCTCTGAAGAGCCAAATGAATAAGAGATAAGTTAGCCAGAGACACATAATTGCACCAAAAAGAAGTCATTCTAAAAAACAGAGAAAATGCTTCCAAGTCACAGCTGCACTACAAATATGCAGAGATGGCTGGGGTTTTTTATGGGGAAACAGGGAATATGGCACTATTTCTTATTTAATCGATCTAGAAAACAAACAGGAGGGAAAGTATTGGAGGACTGATAAATAGCCTAAAAAGGACAATCTGTAGTCTAAAGAAGTTGAAGCAAGCATGTTAGAGTACAGAAGAAAATACAAAATAAGCCACAACAGGACTTCCCTCTGGGGCTTGCAATGCCTTAAGGCAGACACCTAAAATATCAACATCAATCCTTAACTCCTCTCCGACGAAAAATGCATGTTTCCAACCTTGACAAAACCAGCCCAGAAGCCAGAAGGCTCATTAGAGCTTTTCCTGGCCCACAGCATGAATGCTCCAGAATAGAAGTATGCTACAGCATCCCAAAAATGAGAGTCCCAAATATTAAAACCACCAAAAATCAATATTTTAGTAGGTTACAAATTATTACAAAATGCTACATTACAGAATGTAAATGCAAATTATGTCATCCTCAGACAATCCCAGTGTTCCTTGCTTCCTTCTTTCTGACCAGTGGTTGCTCTGAGAATCCCCATCTGCTGTCTGCAAGCATCAAGATATCTTTCAGTAACAACTCAAAAGAGAACACCATGACTGTTGGTCTCCTCTATACAGCTGGCTCGTGGAAGGCTCAATGAAATTCAGAAGCTAATTCTGTTCATGGAAGCATGACCATGATGCGTATGAGAACTAAGATAAATATGCAGAGGAAAAAGAGGAAAAGTAAATATACAGGAGAGAAAACACAGAGAAAATATTGTACATCCAGAGGAAAGCTGGAGGTGAATTTGAGGGGAAAAAAAATGGAACCTGCAGTTGGTAATTTGTGCTTAATTCAGAGATTTAAAATGTGGGATTTGTTCTTAATGCCCTTACTGAAGGAAGGGAATGCAACCGGTCATGGAGTTCACACAGGCTTACGTAAACACACATGCAAATAAGTTGTTTTCCTTGAGCTTCTGGCCAGTTGCCTCCACAGGGGGTATAGGGGACATAAAACATTGCCCAGACAGGATCAGAACATCATGAAGAGATACAGAAAGGGGAAAAGACTCCTGCTCTGCAGGTGGTGGTCAGGAGATGTAAGTCACTACTTACGTCTCATGCGGCGTGAGCTGCTCTCAGGTGCGAGTCGGAAATGATGGAGCTATCTCAGGAAGAAAAGGGTAAATACTGCAAGCAGAGTGACACTCCTTAGTCATCCCACAGCTTGAGGGCAAGAGCAGGAATCTGCAGCTGGCCTTGCAAGGCATCAAGACAGAGAAAGAATTGGAGCTCAGGAGTGCTGAAGATGTTCCTTGCAGTTGCCTTGTACGAGACAGCAGCTAATCAGCTCTTCTTCCTCTTCACCAGGGAAGGCAGCCAGCCCTCTGGAAGCTCAAGTGTGGTGAAGGTTGAAGAGGAGCACTGCCCCTCTCACTCACCAAAACTACCTCAGTCCAGCCCAGAAAGTGGCAGTCTAAGCCCAACTTGATCCATTACAATTTTTTAAAAGTGTAGAAACGGGAAAAAATGCATGTAGTAGATCTCTGTTTGGAATCACCTATTTTTTGTGCGGGTTCTGTTTGAAAACTTTGGGGAGAGTGCTTCCTGCTTGCTGTATCCTGCCCTTTAAAAGCAGGTTTGCTGTTGATCCTTGTGGGAGCTCTCCAAAAGCTCACAAAGCCTCTTGCATACAAACAAAGGAGAAATACCAGGGCTTAATGTTACTTACCTCAGAATATGCCACTTGTTCTGAACAGAGATTAATTTAACTGCAAACAAAAGTGTACAGAGTAGACTCAGAGGTACGCAGAACTGCTGCTGGTTTGAGTTAGAAAAAGTAAAAGTGCCTTTAATGCGTGGCCATCTATCTTTATTGCTCTTTGAAGTCATGGGACAGGATTAAACGTATGATTAATTGCAATCAGTCAGCAAAACCACCAGTTTAAGCAAATATGCTTCATTTTCTTTAATTTTTAAAAACTATTTAGGCAATTGCTTTAATACTTAATTCATTGTAAACTTCCTGCAGGATTTTCTCTGCAGTCACAAATGGTATGCTGACATATTTTCCATTTACCACAATATAAATCTCCAAAATCTTTTTTTTGGGTACTCTAGGAATACATCTATACGATCCATTACATTAAACATTTTTTCCTCTATTAGTTAAATGGCTGAATAGCTGGAAAACGAAAACGATTAGAAGTGCTTTTAAAAAGCAGGAGCCTAAAAGGGGAATGCAAACCCCTCTATTTGTACAAAGCCGGATGTGAGTCCAGAAGATGGGAAGATGTAAATTTAATTAAAACGTTCACAATGAGCAGGATGACAAACGTGCAGTGACTGTTACTTGGAACAGGAAAGCATTACTCACCAACCATCGCGCTGACTTCTCCTGCCATCAGCAGCGGCACAGTGTCGTTGTACAGGTTAACATCGATTATACCTTTCCGAATCGTCTCTCCTACTTTTGCTCCCAGCAGTACCGAGCCAGTAGTTTCAAAAACTGAAGCCAAAATGCAAGCCTGGCGCAAAGTCACTACACCAGAGCCCACGGCAGTTCCGAAAGAATTGGCAACATCATTTGCACCCACTGAAAATGCTAAAATAAAAGCAATGATAAAACCCACAACGACCATCCACAGGTACTCTTCCATTGCCATCTTTCCCCAAAGCGTAGATCCGTTTCCCCTTTGCAAATAGTTAATAGTCAAGGCTGGAGGGAACCGTAACGGATTTGGAAAGCAGATTTCTTGTAAACAATGAGTTCTCTCTGGTAGTGTTAGAATGTGAACAAACTGCTAACTGCCGATTTTCACACTACTATAAATACTGTTCATTTGCCTGCGCTCAGTCAGCAGTGAAGAACATTCCATATTTTGCTCCCAAACTGGTACAGCGGTGGTGTCCTGTCCTGCAGCAGAAAGAAAGAAAAGAAAATTTAAAAAAAAAGAGCCTGCGGAGCCTGTCTCAGCGCTTGTTTTCTGTAGTAAACAGATGATTTGAATCCCCTAATGGGACCCTGCCTTGGCATGTGACTGTTCTAAATCATAAAGCAATTCAAAAAGGTTAAAATTAGGTCACCTCCAAAGCAACATGCTTCTGGAAGTACGACTGACTGAGAAAACATTTTGATCGCTTTAAAAGGACTCAAAGAGGTTGCTGTTTTCTGCCGCATTTACCGAGCAGCTCTTTCTAGAAGGATTCATTTTGGCCCTTGGCACCAAGTCAGCATATAGCATGTAGGACATACAGACTACACCACACAGCCTGATTCCCAGCTGATGGGCACTGCCCAGCTCCATCCCCTCTGCAAAGCTGTCCCATTTTACCAGTTGTAAATGGGATGCACTGCTTTGGAAAATGATTTTGTCTATGAAACGTCACCAAAATACTCTCAAGAGCACTGATATTCATATATTGCTATTATCACATCCCAGGCAGTAAAAGGATATCATCTTCTTACAGCTACTCAGCACGGTGATCACAATATTCCATGTATTCCTATAGATCTATATAAGTGTAGGGAAAAGTCTGACTAAAAAGTTTTAAGCTATCTCCTCTCTTCTGTAGATAGTTACTAATTACTAGTAAACTTATTATACTCAAACCATTCCTACATTTGAATATTTTTGATGACTTTGATTGTACAAAATCCTTTTTTATCTATGTCTTAGTCTTTACTTAGTTTAATCAGAAATATGTGTGAGATCTTTAAACCAAAAATGCGGACAGGAAAGAGTTTTAAGAAATAAAAGCTTCACCATCCAAAAGGGTATATCTTGATCTCTAGGTCAGTAAGAAAGCCACTAGGTATATTTATATAAATCAAACTTAAAAACCACACTTCGACATTCAGCAGTCACCTAGCTCCCTTTGAATGCTATGGAACAGAGGCAGTTTGAAACCAAAGTATTTTTGAGAGCATGTAGGGGAAAATTACTATTCTCCAGATTTGGCTCAGACAGACTGTATGAATCCTTCATACACTTGCCCCCTAAGCTCTTCATCTTTAAATTAGATGTCACAGGTGCAGAGCATTGCTGAATTCAAGCCTGTAAGGACTCACGGGTCCCATAACCAGTAAGGACTACGGTGGTTAAAGGCTGGAAACAAGCACCAGCCTGGCAAAATCCATCTGCCTCTTCCATTGGCTGCTTCTCTTGTAGCAGTCATCTGCATCTATGAAGCCATCTTGTAACATCTTCCTATCTACGCTCCAGGGAGGTGCCATTTTGAAGGTGGTGAGGAGTCACGGGCATATTCAACAGGAAATACCTGCCAGCCAACTGCACACCTTGCAAAAAACATTTCAGAGACTTGGGGGAAATCAGATGGCAAACACCGAGCCCAACTACTGCTCTACCTCTTCAGCCTCATTCGACAAATCCACACACATGGTTTCAAAACCACGCTGAAGTTCTTTTGAATACACTGAAGGTCTGCATTAGGAGGGAAAGAGGGTCTCTGCAGAGAACATCCAAAACCTCAGAGATCATGATGAAATTAGAAAATCATGAGATTTTGCATATTCCTGAGATGCTGGATCATTGAGAACGACCACAAGGGAAACATCACACCAATAATTAAGTAATCGTTCCCTGAAAAGCCCTAAAGTTTATGTCAAGGATTGATCTTTTTATCCAAACATACATATTAAGGAGAAAAGATTTCTCTTTTTTCTTCCAGACTCCGCAGAGGCTGGGCGATTGTTGCTCTGGTCTTTTCCAGATATGGAGCAGACATCAACCCCTGAATGATTTGCACTCCAAAATAACATCTTGGAAGGTCTTAACTGCTGAAAACATTTGTATAAGGATTTTTATACTATGAGATAACATGTGAAAACGAAGCCCCAATGCATTTTTCATATTTGAAGACTTGTTGGCCATAATTCATGAACACTCAGCCCTTGGAGTGGGAAAAGACTTGAAGAGGGGGAAAGGCTAACAATATTCAGAAGAATTGATTACAGTTAGAGCTTGTCTGCCTGAGAGGGGGGACAAAACTTGTGGTGTGCAACCATGAGACACTGAGACATGCCAATGCCTATTCCATAGCCCGGGAGCCTTTCCCAAGTCATCCTCATACTGAGAGACTTATTACATACCTCATTTCAGATGGAACCACAACAGAAAACACGATTACTCAAGATAAAGTGTTAACGAAGTGGTGGTTTGAGCAGTTCAGCCTGCAAGGCATTTTGAGAACTGACTCGCTGTTGCCTGAGCTGAGAACAGTTGCTTCAAAATTCTGTGTAGAGAGCGTAAGCGTGCAGGCATGGGGGGCAGAGAAACATTTCTCCTTACTCTGTTAGATTCACTCATTTTTACTTATGTATGTTGAATTTTCGCTGAGAAATGAAGTGCTGGACCAAGCTCCTACCTTGATACTGGAGATTCATGATTAAATTCCTTACCCTGCATGCATTTGTACAGCACCTTGGCCAAGTTAGCCTCTGTGCTTCAGCATCCTTTCCATAAAATGGGAAAACTTGCCTGAAATGCACGTGCATCCACAAACACAGTGGTTATGAGAGTCCTGTTTCCTTCAGAGCCATGAGATGCTAGCAAATCCTTATTTCCAGCAGAGGTCTGTCTCCTACTTACCAACCAACCTCACAACTTTCTGTGCTGACCCAATCTCTTGGATGAGGGAAAGCATGGGTATTGTGACATTCCCCACCACAGCAGAGCTCATAGGACAGCATTTATTCAACCAGTTCATCCAGCTTCCATAATAAACTGCTAAGCCACAAGGCTGCCCTTACAGCTTCCCTGGGGAATGAGCTCCAGGTGGTCCCAGAGAAACAAAGGTTGAAAATAGGTGTGCTGAGGCAAAGAGCTCCGAAATCTCCTGGTGAAGATCACAGAGTCTCAAAGTGTGCTGGTGGGGCTCTTGGCAAAGGGCTGAGGGGCAGCTACGTGACCGCCATCCCTGGAATGTGATACTGGGAGGAAGGGATGCCTGCAGCAAGGTGCGACTGCAAGGATCAACACAGAGGTCCTCCTCCGAAGTCTTGACTCAATTTTACCAGGGCCAGAACGCAGCAATAGCTATACCTTGTCTTTAGCACATCTAAAATCCAAGTGAAAAGAGGAAAGGGGATGGGCATGTTTAGAAAAGAATAGAAACTAACACGCAGGCAGTGTTTGAGCAGTGTTACTACTTTCTCCTTAAGTAAGTAGGAGATATTAAAAGCTTAAAGAAAGAAATGGAAAGAAGGAAGAAAAAAACGGTCTTATCTGCTCCTCTGTGAAAGTTTTCAGAAATGCAAAATATCCTGCAAAGTAGGCCAGTGACTAAATACAGACTAAATCTTGCAGCGTGCTTCTTTCTGGAGCCCAAAATACATCTGGCATGCTTGGGCACGCTGAGCTATGCCCCTCCTCACCTAATCTAGCCCATGAGCTGCGGTATTTTGAGCTGTTGCTGGGACAAAAAAGAAATGGGTAGAAACACCACACAGGAGAGTCTGACAGACCGTCGGCTTTGCATGACATCTGGAAGCCTCCAACCCTTTTTGCCCTTTTGTATTTTCTTAATACGCCTCCGTGATGCCAAATGCAATTAAGCCTGATCTGCTCAGCACTGGGAGATCCTCAGCCTCACCTGTGGGACCGACGTTGTCTCTCCAGCCGGCTGCACCAGACAGAGAGGTTACCCTGTCAGAGCACAGGGCCCTGCGGTGTGTGGCCAGGCTGGGCCTGCAGGGCCACAGTGCACACCTCTGTGGGATGCTGTGATGCGTGCATGTGGAACGATGCTGGGGCGAGTCTTCCGGCCACGGGAAGCTAATTTGGCATTAAAGGCAAAGTTTTTAGCTAACGTGGCTTTCTTCTGATCAATAATTAGTGTGGCATTCTTGGGCCTCATGAAGTGGGCTCTTTCAGTGGACTTATTAACTTGCACTTCAATGCGAAAAACCTGATTGTTGGAAATGCTAAGCACATCCTCGCTGGCAGATGACCCAGACAGCCCCTGTGATGTCAGTTTGCCTCTTGCTGTCTGTCTCCTCCCCGGAGGAAAGGAGTAGAAGGACAGCCAGGAGAGGGGCACCGCAGCTCATTGTGAGCGACAAGCAGATGGGCAGGAAAAGCCAGGAAGCAAGAAGCAGGAGATCATTTCAGGACATGTTTATATGTGGGTACTTACTAAGAGAGCTATTCTGGAAACTATTCACAATACATTTCTAAGCGTAGACAAGTGTTTTGGTGAAAAATTAACAGGAAATTGAATAGATGATGTTGTCAGTTCTTATTTTTTTAGCCAAACAGATTGTTGGTGGAGAGAAAGCAAAACCACCTAACAACAGGGACAAATGGTTAAACAAATGCTAAGGACTAGGTTCAAAGTCTGAGGAAGTGATTCCAGTGCATTACCCACCAGCAGTCCAGCTGGGTGACAGAGAGGAACAAACAGAGACCTGATAAATGCTCTTTCATCTTCTCTCTCCTGAAAATTAGGGGAGAATCCACTGCATTCACGTGAAACATTAAAATGTACATAAATCACAGTACATGCAAACCACCTGCTCTCAGCAGCTGCCCCGTCGTGGAGTTTAAAGCTTCACCCTGCTACAGGCAGGATGGGGATTCAGCGAGTTTCCATTTTCAACTCTTGTTTTGTTGTTGTTGTTTTTTCTGTTGTTGATCACTTATGAACAAATATCAATAGACAGCAGCTAATGTACCACTTCTAAAGACAACTATTACAAGTACTCCACTTTGCATTATGACAAGAGATACAGGGGAGGACAATTTCTTCTCCCCTGCAGTGCTCAAAAAAGCAAATATTTTGTTAGACTGCTGTGTTTAATTTGCACCGACAGGACCTTCACTTCTCATTACCGGTGGCTGAAAAGTCTGTCTCAAACGTTTACCACACTGGGGCTTTCAGGAGTTTATTCCATCCCTCCCAAATTTCTGTGTGCCGTTTTTTACATAAGACACATTTGTAAGGCTTGCCACCTATGTATATAAGTGCAGGGATCTTCTAAATTCGCAGTAGCTCAGGCATTACAGCCTATTGGTACTAAATACAGTGCTGCACAGAAACCAGACCTGATTTATAAGCAAAGCCCCTGACAGTTCACAAAAATAGTTCTTATCTTTCCTAGTTCCTGCACGGACCATAAGACTCACAAAGTACCTGCTTTAAGTTACTAATATTACATCTGTGATACGGAAGGTGGTACATTTCAAGTCGTTCGAGACTAAGAACATCCCTATATGGCTCTAAATTACATGCACAGGACTTGTCACAAGGCCAAGCGTGATGCAAGTTTAATGCTCCAGGACACAAAACCCACCAATGCACTTCTAAAAATCAATTACCACATACTCAGAAGCAATTTTGTATCAATCAGTTCCTATTTTAATGCAGTCGCTATGTTTTTGTGCATACTTGGCACTACTACTCGATATGGAAACGCCACTGAAGTTCACAGTTTTCCAGGGACTCCTATCAAGTTTAACACTGCAGAGAGACACTGTCACCTTCAGTTCCCAAAACCTGCAGAGGATGCTATGTTTTCCTAGATCCTAACAACCTCTGTTCCCACTACCGAAAGGCCAAAAATGCAGATAAATTATTCAGAGTGAGATCATGCTGCCAAAAACATTCAACTCAAGTGATAGAAAGCAGTCATGCATAAGCAGTAATTCTACAAACCAACGAAGTAAGCTAGGCAAGGTATCAACAAGTCCTCATTCACCTGTTGATAAAGATCTTTTTATGTACTAAAGAACAGTTTTATCTTTCAGTGCCCAAGCAAAGTCTTTCTAACATGCAAATAGTTTTTATGATTCTGCGCAAGAGATTTCTACGATCTGTTCAGGGAAAACAAACAAGTGCTTTGTGGATATTTAAACTACATTTTATAAAAGAAAGCCATGCACAGAAACCTTTATAACTCACCCAGTACTTAAAAGTTGTTTCAAGAGAAACAGGAGCTAAGTTCTGCCAGCGACATGCCTTTCTGATTGTAAATAGAGGCTGAAGTCTAAAATAGATAGCCTATCATTCAGCACAGCCACATCTGAACATGCAAACTTCCAGAGGGTATAAAAGTGCTGGCGACTTACACAGGCAGTCCTCGGATAGAATTCCCTCCAGCACAGGGGAGCCCTCAAGACAGCTCCGAGAAGCATCAGCACGAGTCCAGAGCCGTGTTCAGGAGGTGGAAATCTGCCTCCTCTTAAGCAAAGAATTCTGCTGGGGGTGGGCACTGATAAAACACAACACTGCGTCACAATTGCACTCATTAGGCAAACCAATCCAAGGAAGCTCATATTAAAACAACAAAATGCGCTCTCTCTCTCTCTCTCTCTTTTCCCCCCAAGCACAGGCATAGACCAGAGAGTGAACCTCCTTTTTTTTAAAAAAATCTCTTACCAGGAGCAGTGACCACTGGGCATTCTGGGGTGATCGGGTGGGCTCTGAGAAGCCCACTTTGCAAGCACACTGAGCCTATGCTTCATGTAAATGGTGAAAGTGCGTTTAGCAAGAAAGTATGCACATCCGACTGAGGAAAGATGTTGCACGCTCGTTACTTTATCCATGTCAGTAGAGGTCTCACAGGCTACACAGACTGCAGAAAGCTGAAGATGTGCACGAGTGCGGGCTGGAGCAATGCCTAAGCAAGCAACTTCACTTACAAAAGTTCAGCCCCGATTACATAGGCATAATTCCTTGAACCACCTTCCTTGGAGTGCGAAGAAATTTTGCATGTGTGTCAGGGTAAAAGTAATGTTTGCCTAAAAGCACCCAGCTTAGCTTTATATAAAATATGTCCTTGAATACCACAGGAGACAATCAAACTATTTAATACAGCAGAAAGGAATTGAAATCAAAACTTCATCGTTGTGGTTTAAAAACCTGATACATGTAGATTTACTTTAAGGATAAACCAGGCTTCTGGTTCATAAGTAAATGACATTTCAAACTTAACATTTTTACTAAACTTTCAGATTTGCCTCCATTCTGAATCACATTCAAACATAACAAACTCAAATTTGCCATGTCCTCCACATTTGAGAAAAATCAAATCACTGATTTAAATCTGCAAATGTAGAGTTGGAAACTTAATTCTTACCTCATCTATTTTTTCAAGTCCGAATGAACTCATAATATTGCTTAACAAGGAGGTAAGGGATTCCCAAACTGAGCTCAGCTGCAGATCACAGTCAGGGATAATTTGGTAGATCTGAAAAGTGGTTTATATTTGTTAAAAAAACTCACGCAGATTGGTAAACCTACATCATCTTCCACAGAGAATTAGGGCAAATCTGCAGCTAGAAATCTCTAAGGCAGAAATGACATTAAAATCTTCCAATTAAAAAAACAAAAATAAAAATAAAAGATAAATATCAGACCAGGATTCCTTACAAGAAATGTTAACTCTTTACAGAAGTTCAACACCCAACCATTAATAAGCTTGCCCCAAGGCACACAGCTTTGTGCACAACTAAATCTCAGGTCTGGATGTAAAGTCTCTCCTTTTCATGTTGTAATTGCTGGCAAACAAGCTCACCAGTTTTAGAAAAGTGAGAAACTGGTTTACCTTTCTTATGAAAGCCATGTATGTTGACAGTGAGAAGGTAAATCTTTTCCTGAAGATCTAAACACATCCCACTTTTTATCCTAGTTTTTAAAAGCAACATCAATCAATCCAAATGAGAGTGAACCTGATTGTAAACATGAAGTCAGCTTGTATTTATAGGTCCAGATTCCAAGGATTTAAGGAAGTGAATAAACAAACACAGAAACTTTCTTGGAGTACTTATTTAGCTTTATACAGTAGGAAAAACAAATGAAAAAAATACCTAAGAAAAAAACAGAACACAAAATGTTATTCCACGTTCTGTTTATAGCCAACATGCTGTTGATGACTGGCATGGTAAAGCATGGTTCAGACACGAAGGATCAGAAGCAGATCCAGCCCCCCTCCAGCTCTCCCTGAACAAGGGCCCCTCCGGCATGGAGTGCCACCACAAGTGTGCAGATGCAGGTAGGAAGGCCTTCCAGAGGACACTCCTCGGCCAGGCTACTTGGGAGGTACCTCCAGCTATCCCCAAAGCCAAAGCTGCCAGCCAACACTGTGGGAACCATCTCAGACCCACACAGACAACAAAGTAGAACCCTTTGGGTGCCACTTCCCATGAGCCAGCCTGACCACAGCCGTGGTTTCTTGTTGACGTAAACTTCAGAGCAATTGCAAAGCATATAATAAACAGCACAGAAAAAGGAAATATCTTTCAAGCTTTTGTTCTGCTAAATCAGCACTGTGGACCTCAGGCATGGGAAAAGTTGATTCAAGATAGGTTGATCATTAAAAAAAGTTACAATTTGGGATACCACTAAAGAAACAGGCAAAGGAAAATTTATACGACCACAAAATAAATGATGAGGTTCGGCTTCTGGCAGTGGTGGCACCGGTCGGGTTCCCATCAAAACAAATATTTGTAGAAATGATAAATATTACATATTACAATCACAATCAGATATTGTAATTTTTTTTTTTTCTTCTTGATTGTAATTTACTCTGGAAAGTCCACAACTGAGGGATCCCTGTTTGATTCAACAATTCCAGTGTCGGCAGATTTATATTCTGCTTCAAATAGGCTGATTAAAGTAATCAATTTGCATTATTTTCTGAAAGATGCCAAGGTTCTTTTTATCAGTAACTAAAGCAGCATTAATTGGCAACTTCAGGGCACTGTTACATCAAAAGTAACTGCCTTTTTTTTGCCATTCAGATGGAAAAGCTACATATTTATGCAGTTAGAGGTATTTTAAAATGCATACAGCTTGAGAAGAAAATAATGGGGGTTGGCTGTCATTTTCTAACATGAAAAATTGTAGGATTTGGAATCTGAATACCTTCAAGCTGTGTTTAGTCAGAAAAAGCAATGCAATAACAACATCCAAAAGCTGCACAACATTGTTCCAGTTGCACTCTGATGTTAATTAAATAAGCTAATTGACCAATTTTCGGACTTTGGCATACCTACTGATACTCTGAAACTGGGAGCCACATGCAGTTGGAACTCAGCACTTCTGATTTCCCTGTGCTTGTGCTCCTGATCCTACAGGGAATCCCCACCTTCAAATGGCGAAGAGAAAATGAACAGGCATAAAGGAGAGATGAAGGTGGATGGACGGCCCTGAATTTCTCCTCTGCAGACCTGGAGACACTCCTGAGCAAAGCCACAAACACTGCTTGAGCTGGAAGGAGCCTGCTCCGATCAACATCTGTGTACTCGCTTTTGCATTTTGGGTGTCAAGCTCCAACACATTCTGTAATCTATCAGGATAATTTCCAAATAGAAAGAGATATATCTGTATTTCACTCAACCATCTCAAACAATCTCAGGACTGTCTGTGAAGTCCAATATTATGGACATAAAAATTAAAAAGCTGGTGGACTTTCAGGGATGGATTGTGCTTTTTGCTCTGAGAAAGCAAAAAATTCGGGGGGTCTTTTTTTATCAACTCCAAATTCTGTCACACTGCCATGTGAAACATTTTTTCCAGCAAGCCCTTGATCTCCCAGGGTGGACAGGCCATCCCAACGAGGAGACTTCCATTCCCAATGGCCAAGGTGAACTTGCTGTACTTACATTAGCATGCAGGGAGAGCTGCCATACTGCAGTGTGACTCCACTTGTAGCCACCCATCATCTTTTGAGCAAGTAAGCCCTGGGAAAATGGAAAGGAGGAAGCCACAGCTGGAACTGCTGGAGGCCAAGCCTGGCCTGGAGGACGACAGAGGCTGAGAGAGTGAGCCTGATTCCAGTGCCTCACACAGAACAAGCTCATGCTGAGCCAGCAGGACTTCAAAGGCAGCAAAACCATTCCGGAGAATCAAGGCTTTGGTCAGTGCTGATTTGAGCACTGCTCCAGTTAATGCCAGGAACCAAATGGACTTGTATCACCCCAACTCTGGCTGATTCACTGAGGCTGGGCTTACAACATTCATATTAAGTGCAAAGGAATGGGAGAACCGCTGCCCTGCGTCTCCTGGGACTTTATCAACTATCTTCCCTCCTGAGCCCCACCTCTAAAGTAAGCAACCAACATAGGCAACGCACTTCTAAAAACCCTGGCTGCTGCTGACAATTCAAGTAGCATTATTCCAAACTACTGATCAACCTATACTAACTACATGTGGAACACAAAAATTGGCTGTAAAACATTAAAGGCAATTTGGAAATTCAATGTTTTACAAATTCAAAGGCTTATGCAAAGATCTCCTTAGTAAAAAGCCAGAATGAGGTTGCCAGAATTCAATAATGGGAATTTTCATATAAAGGAAATATGACACCTCAATCCCCCAAATTAACTGCCATTCTCATTTTGTTTGGGCTTTCACGTGACTGCTGTGATGTCTTCTCCCACTAAGCTGCAAGAGAACTCTAGGGCTCTCCTGAAGCCAGTGAACCTCTCTCTCAAGAGGGAGGCAGAATGAGTAAGCAGTTATCAACACATTCAAGCATCCTGAGTGGCTCACACTGGCATCCTCCAAAACCAGCATATCCACCATGACAGAAGATCAGGCACTGCTGAAGTGAGCTAGCTGACTGCTAAAAGCAGGAAAGGACCAGTGATGAAATTATAAAGGTGGCAACACTGATGCAGCCACTGAAAGCTGTGGCTACGGCTTCATGCTGTTGGAACAGTAGCCAGCTATGACACCTAGGAGCCCGGTAATGACATACACAGGCTTTAATACTGTCTGGAGAAAGGTCCAAGCCACTTCTGTCACCAGAGAGAGCTCCCTCTTCACACTCTCCAGTACATGCTGACCATATGAAGAACAGCACCTGCCACCCAATAGGTCTGGTTGCCCTCAAAGATCAATAGCTGCTGTTCTTCAGAGTCTGTGTAGTGGTCCACTTCTACCTCCTACAGTCTTCACTGCTACAGACATGGGGAGCACAGTGGTGAGACAGGATCCTTGCGGTCCAGCCATAAGAAAGAGTTAACACGTTGCTTCACTGTAGGCTGGTGGTGCTGCTGGAGCAAACAGGCGGCTGACAGACCTGTCACACTGGCTGGTAACTAAATCACTGCCGATGTGACATGCCAAAGAATGTCCCACGATTGGGTGCATGGCTTGGCAAACATCTGCAAGAGGGACTTACTGAGGGCATGTGCTGTGAAGTAGGTCAAGCAAAGCCAGGCTTAATTCTCTGCAAAGGGTCAGTCTCCACCTCAGTGTTTCTCCGGTGCTAGACCAAGCTCTGAAAACCTTGGGAAAAGTTGATATACAAACAAGATTAATGTAGGGAGTTGGTCACAGACCTTGTTATCAAGAATATCCCCTCAGATGAGTGACTGCTGATGAAGAGATGACTCTGTGTTTTATCTGGGGTTCTTTTAACCTGCAAGCAAGCCCTGGTAACATCAGTGTTTCTACTTTGGCAGTCCAGAGCCCATGTCTCAGTGGAGAACATGGAAGGGTTCTAAAGGCACGGGCAGCATAATGGGACACGCGCTGCCTCCAGTGAACTGTCAAGTGCATTCGTCT